ATCTCCGGTGCTCGAATACCCTTGCAATCGAGAGAGCGATCGAGCAAAACCGGGGGCCAAAAGTGTTCGTACAATCTCTTGGAAGAAGCCACCTGACGAAGTTGACCACAGCAAGTGGAGAAGTCGTTGTCTCGAAGCCGGCAGTTCTTTCGGAAGTAGAAAACTTCTACGGCCGGTTATACGCTTCGCATGCATCTCGACCTGACCCCGGAAATGAGGACTCTAGAGCCACTTTAATACGCCATTACACCGAAGACCTGCCAGAAGTCAGCATTGACGAAATCGAGATCGCTCTTGGACAGCTTAAAAATGGAAAAGCCCCTGGAGAGGATGGCGTTACGACAGAGCTTCTAAAAGCAGGCAGCAAACCGGTACTCAGGGAGCTGCAAAAGCTATTTAACGCTGTCCTGTTTGAAGGGAGAACTCCAGAGGCGTGGAGTCGGAGTATGGTCGTCTTATTCTTCAAAAAGGGTGACAAAACCCTACTGAAGAATTATCGACCCATTTCCCTTTTAAGCCACGTCTATAAGCTGTTCTCGAGAGTGATCACGAACCGCCTTGCGCGAAGACTTGACGAATTCCAACCACCGGAGCAGGCTGGGTTTCGGAGCGGATACGGCACCATAGACCACATCCACACAGTGCGGCAGATTATACAGAAGACTGAGGAGTATAATCAGCCCCTGTGCCTAGCATTTGTGGACTATGAGAAAGCCTTTGACTCGGTCGAAATCTGGGCTGTTCTGGAGTCCCTGCAGCGATGCCAAGTAGATTGGCGATACATCCAAGTGATGAGATGTCTCTACGAGGCCGCCACCATGTCCGTCCAAGTACAGGATCAGCAAACAAGGCCGATACCGTTGCATCGAGGTGTGAGACAAGGGGATGTTATCTCCCCGAAATTGTTCACAAATGCAATGGAGGATATGTTCAAGACGCTGAACTGGAAAGGACGCGGCATCAACATAAATGGCGAGTACATCTCTCACTTGCGATTTGCAGACGACATCGTCATCGTAGCAGAAACGCTGCAGGACCTACAACGGATGCTGAATGACCTGGCTGACTCTTCTATACGCATCGGCCTACGGATGAACTTGGATAAAACCAAGGTCATGTTCAATGAACATGTACTACCGGAACCGATTGCAGTACACGGCGCTGTTCTCGAAGTCGTTCAAAAATATGTATACCTCGGGCAGACATTGCAGATGGGTAGAAACAACTTCGAGAACGAGGTGAATAGAAGAATTCAGCTAGGTTGGGCAGCATATGGAAAGCTGCGTCAAGTCTTCACGTCGTCGATCCCACAATGCCTAAAGACGAAAGTCTTCAATCAGTGCGTCCTACCTGTCATGACATACGGAGCCGAAACGTGGACACTGACGGTGCGGCTGGTTCACAAGCTAAAAGTCACTCAGCGAGCTATGGAGAGGGCTATGCTCGGCGTTTCTCTGCGAGATCGAATCAGAAACGAGGTGATCCGGCAGAGAACCAAGGTAATCGACATAGCCCACCGGATTAGCAAGCTGAAATGGCAGTGGGCTGGCCATATTAGCCGAAGAACCGATGACCGTTGGAGTAGACGAGTTCTTGAGTGGAGACCGCGTCTCGGCAAACGTAATGTAGGACGTCCTCAGGCAAGGTGGAGTGATGATTTGCGCAAGATGGCTGGCAGGAGCTGGATGCGAGTGGCCGAAGATCGATCCCAGTGGCGTGCAATAGGAGAGGCCTATGTCCAGCAGTGGACTGAAAAGGGCTGATGATGATGATGATGATGATGATAAATAATACCTTGAAAATCCAGCCTTAACGAAGTTATAAATGAAACTGTCTGAATGTGCTATGGACTTCTTAACCTTACAATCAGCAGCCATAGAGTCCGTAGCAACCAGTCGACCCAAAGGCAGTAGCAGGAAATGCTTCTTTAACATATAATATGTAATATATCACAGAAGGGAAATTCGATCAAGCAAGAGCGCTTATATATCAAACGACCCAAACATGTAATTGAATATTACGAACGTATTTTGCAAACCAAATATAAGGCCGATTGGATAGAAACCGCCGCCACAGAGGGTGTCCATTTCCCAAATCCGCAGTGAGGCAATAAAGTGGTAGGCAATAAATAACTGATAGAACACCGAAGCATGGAAGTGGTCGGTGCAGTTTGCCGTGCATTGCGTTCACTACAATGTTCCTGCTTCCAACTTGTATATTGTTTACAAGTTTATTTTTCTAGAATCTTCCTTGTTGACATATTGATGTTGTTCATCTTTATATTTATGAGGAAAAGATGAGATTTTATTCAAGCTCACAAAAACACAGTTACCTACATCAGAAATGAATACATGCACCATATGAATACATGGTTACCGTAACCGAGAATGTAGAAATTACGAAATTGGCTGTCGAATATTTAAACAAAGATGTACAATATCAATAAGGCATTAATCATTTTAATAAGATGCTATGTTTGTATGTTTAACATATTATACCTAGCAAATAAGTTAAAAATAAGCTTTAAACTTTTCCTAATTAGGTATTAGGTAGTAGATACCTCATTAGGAAAAGTATAATAAGATTATTTTATAGAAGTGGTAATTGTTTGCTTATTATTTAACTTTTTGTTTATCATATTATACTTTTCTTAATGAGTTATTAGTAGATACCTCATTGGGAAAAGTATAATAAAACTATTTTATAGAAGTAGTAATTGTTTTTGAGAATCAAACTCATTTCATTTGATGGATGGCCCGAACATGAAGTCATGAGAGGCAGTTTAAGATGAAGTATAGTATAAGAGGGAACATTGTTATCTTCGTAAGTCCCTGCGACGCTGGCTCGTAGCCAGCGGACAACGGGATCTGCGAAATAAGACAAATTTTGGCAAATGTTATCTCAACTTGAGACTGTGTCTTTATTATATACTTATTGCCGGCTTTATTGATGGAGGTGGTGGCACGTCAGATTGCTGTGAAATTATTTTTGATCTGAGTAAAAAAAATACTTGTCAGTGGTTTGCGTTTGCGCTTGATATAACAACTGCTTACTTGCTTCGTATCAAAACTCTTCGTGGTTAGTTCCATCAAGCTATGGAATGACTTTTTAAAATAAAAAACCTCTGAACAAACGATATAACGTAGGGTTCATGTCATGTTCATCAATTTATACACAAAAATAATCCCACACCTATAGCCTTATCACTTACTTCCATTAGCCGCAATAGTCCTACACTAACCGGGGACTGTCCTTGGGTGTATTTCTATAGTGCATACAGGGATAGTCGCCGGTTTGTGTCCTATTTCATTTAGATTAAAGTTGCCTAAAGGGCCTCTGCGCAGTTGGCTCCGGCCCCTCGTACGCCTTCCAAGTGACCGAGACCCTGTGGTCCCGTGATTGGTAAAGACATACATAATTATAATAATAAATCAATCTTAAAGTACAATATCAAGGTAATGTATTCATCAAATTAAAAATTTCTTTCTAATTCTTTTGTTAAGTCGAAAGTAATTTAAGTTTGTGAAGGCGTTATTTGTTAAACTTGTGTGTTTTCCGTTCAATGAAGCGTTTATTATGGCCCGTTAAGTTTCGAACTTGGTGTTATTATGAACTATTAGAAAAAGTTGTTAAGTAATCACTTGTACGTACTTAAGTAAGTACAAAGGATTTACGAAGTGTTTTACATAGTACTGGCATTTTAGTTTATTACTTTGTCTGCAAATAACTTTGGAATTTGGCGGCTAATGGTTAGTTACCCGATGGTAAATCGGCTACCAGCTACCTACAACACCATAGGATATACAAGAACGATTTGTGGATTAGAGGATTAGGGATGATGAAGAGATTTTTTTAAATTTTACTATAGCCAATAAACACAACTTTTTTTTAGAACGCATTGAAAATGAGCAGGCGTACCTTTTACCTACTTTTAAAAAAATATGCATCAACCGTACTTCATCAAAAACAGACGGATTTTTATAAAACACTACCATTTACTTTTCTCTGACTTAATTTGGAACTAAAAACAAAGACGAATCAAATAAAATGGGGCTTTGGTGCATTATTTCCATAGTTCGTAGGTATGTATTGTAAACACATATATTATACCGTACATATGGTAATTTGAAAGAAATTAAAAAACTCATTTGTATAACGCATATATGTATTTTAAAGCAAGGTTTTCTTCTTCTTCTTACATCCGTGTTATTATATCAAATAGAAGCAAATTAGCTTATTACAAAGTTTTTTTCACGCTACCCGCCATGAAACGATTATTTTTATAGTCATTGTATGAGCAGACGCGTTCGTGGCAAGGAGTAGCGTGTACATAGGTAATATTTTAATGACTTATATAATATATTTATTGCCATTTGTGATTATAAATGCTTTTATTTATTAATACTTAATTGGGACAAGCGTGGTATTAACTAGAACAGATTTATTAATTTGCTATGTGAACACATGTGTTTGAAATATGAAAATTATAAAGTGCTTTTGTAATTAAAATTGTGCATAACATTTACTTAAATTCCATCCGATGAATTTTAAGTTATAGTTACAAATTGTTTATTTATACTGCTAGCGTATTACATATCTACCAATGGTCAGCAATGAATTTGTTGAAGACGCCTATAATCCAGATTAAATGAGGTATTTATGTATATATAGGTATTTATATAAGTATACACAGAACATGTTCACATTAATTATAAAAACAAACATCATAATTATATTAATCTCTAAAGTCATTCATCAAAAAAGCTGCACGTTTTCCAGACTTCCCTACCATTAGAGCCGACCCCTCCAAAGCGTGAACAAAAAATAAGAAAATGAAAAACCATTACATCTTGAAAACATATTGTGAAAGAATTTTCTTAATCGGCTCCGCAAATTTCTGGTACAAGGAAAGCGAAATAGGCAACGATCAAAGTCTGCTTTATAGGACATACAACAGTGTACTGTATTTCATATATGGTTTCATGACAATATTAGAAATAATGGCGGCCACGATGGGCGACTTTCCCCCAGACGAGAAACGTGACTCCGTGAGCTTCGCCGTCAGTCATACGATAGTTATGATCAAAATATATTCAGTTATTGCCAACAAATCGTTGATAAAAAAGCTGAACCATAAAATGATAACAGTTTGTGAGAGATACGAGGAAAGTAAGTTGATGGCAGAGAAATATAAGATCATGAAAATAAATGTTGTCGCTTACTTTGTGACCGTTTATGCGTCGGCATTTTTCTTTGTTTTCGAAGGACTAAGAAAGATGTTAACAGGTGAGTTAATTTCCTTTCAATGAAATTTAACCTTAATTGTAACACGTGTAAATTCAATTTCATTTAAGCATTTTTTTGTTTTCAAATCGTTTATTAAATGTTGTTTTTAATCCTTACGAAACGAGGCTTTCATGGAAATGAAGAATCCTGAGTGAATTTTCTTGAATGAGTTTTCTTGGAAAGGTAAATCTCTTCACTTGCCTTGATATAATTTAAAACAACAATTTTTAATGTTATTATTGAATAAATCAGAAACCGTTTACACTGAAAAGCTGTAAGTATAAAATAATATAAGGGTTAAACGGTACTTTTAACAAAATGTCAGATATATTCAATTGTTTTAACTAACCGCAGGATAAACATTGAAATTGACCCGAAAACCGACGACGGCGAAGAAACCTAGAACAAATTGGTCTTATAAGTAGACCTACTTATTAATTGGTCTTATAAGTAGGTCCATATCATCTCACCGACTCTTCGAGTCTAAGCTGAAGTCATGAAAAAGATTGTTACCAAGTTCCGTCCATCAAAACATTTGTTAACAATACGACACTCTTGATTGGACTAGTTTGTTAAACTTTTGGATATCAAAAAACTTACATAAATGGAACAAATGTGAACTTATGCGTCAATATTACTACTTCAAAATAAAATAAAATCGTTTGTTCGATTTAGGTATACCTATTTATACAAAACTCATTCGTACTCCGTATAAATGTATATGACAATTCCCCATCCCCAATACCCTAATCCTCAAAACCCTAAAATCTCTAAGAACCTACAAAAGGAAGGCAATGTCAACGTACTTGTATCTCTTCTGTTGTTGCGGTTATTATAACACATCCATCAGATGATCCGTCCGTCATCAAAAACATCTTCTTAGAAAAATCTGATCATTTCACTACCAGGAAATTCCTTCGTAATAATGAGATTGATGTTAAAAGAAGAAAAAGACTAATTTATGGTACAATTCTAAACATCATTGCATTTTCTAGGATCCCATTTTGTGACAGTCGTGACTTATTATCCAAAGTTTGAAGATGACTCAATACTCGCCACATCCGGCCGTGTTCTAACAACAGTAATTTTATACATCTTGATGATAACTATGATACTGTCTGTTGACTCATTCACAATGATTTATTTGATCATGTACAAGTACAAATTTATAACTCTGAAACAATACTTCGAAAATCTGCGAAAAGAAGTAAGTATGCTCAATGCTAGAAAGGAATACGATATGGCGACCGAAAAAATGGCGTCTGGTCTCATTGAAGGAATTCAAATGCATAACAAGCTTTTGAGGTAAGTTACTTTTCCTAAAACATCAAAACGGTTCTCTTGAAATTGAATATAGATTACTTAGATTCTCATTACAGAAGTCATCGGTATCTTAATAACCTATTGTGAATACAACTTTACTCTATTGGCAGGAGAAACTGTGGTTTGAAGTATGTATTAAGTAAAAAGGAGGAAATACTCCGGACCATAATTTAGTTCTAAACAGCTTTAGCTAATCTCTTTACACCAAACATTTAGCAAAACTATAAACATCTTAAAATACCGAAGTATTACATAAACTACCAAGAAGTAACAACCTTTCCCTTTGTGTTCAGTTTCAAAGATACCTCTCGTCACAATACAAAAAAAAAAAGAAATCATCCCGTAATTAAGACAAAAAACCAAATTAATTTTAAATCCGAGCTCCTTTGTAAATAAATGTTTTAATTTCAAAGAAGTTCAGTTTACGAGGTCTATCAAGGTCAATCCAATGTCGAGGCGGCAGGCGGCCATAATTCTTTTTACTTCATCAGGTTATCTGGAGATATCGACAAAGCGTTCGGTACAGTGATGGCGCTCCAAGTTTGTCAAAGCTCAGGCTCAGCCGTCTCTCTCTTACTTCAAATTGCCGTAAGTAATGACATTGTTGTCCCTTGCCTTGCCAGCTCGGGAGTTTAGCTAAACTATGTGTTATTTGTATTGATTGTTCACTCTTTTGTTGTTTATTTCTGGATCTTGGTTTTATATACGAGACCTTTGTGTGTCTAAGATTTTATTGAGGATTAGAATTGAGATTTTGGTTTTGGCTTATGTACTGGACTTAAATAAATGGAGTTATTGTTATTGGAATAGATACACCACGTATTAGCTTCTTAAAGTGTCTGTCCCAAGGTTATGAAAGAGAAACAACGGATAATTTAGAACTCAGTAGCCTTTTAAGTATGAGAGAACCAAGCTTCGGCACGAATGGGTTGGCTCGACCAGAGTGATACCACGGGCTCACAGAAAACCGGCGTGAAACAACCACAGCGTTGTGTTTAACCGTGAAAGGTTAAAGGAGGCCCAATCCCTCCCCCTTTCCTATCCCTTCCCAATACTAAAATATCCGCAACCCTAATCACCAAAAGGCCGGCAACGCACTCGTAAATCCTTCGCTGTTGCGGATGTCCATGGGTGGCGCCGATTGCTTACCATCAGGTAATCCATCTGATCGTTTGCCGACTTATCCCATAAAAATAATATCACCCAACGCCCCATATATACTTTTAGTGCTAAAAACTTAAATAGGTAGTAGGGACACAGTTGTATCTTTTTTATATGAATAACTGAGTTGTAAACCTAACTGTGCGAATATTTCTACCTCGATGTTATTCTTTAATAATACAAATTTGACAATAGGGTTCTGTTTTCCACCGCCAGGCGCTATTGATTGCGTAAATGCCGCCTCTCCGAGGTTCGAGGTCACAGATAAGATTATGTCAATTGTTTATTTCACATTGCTTTTACTCTGTATTCATACATTTTTGTATATTAGAATTTTATAACGTTTTTATCTATTTAAATTTCTATTAAGGTATTATGATAGTAAAAAAAGAAAAGTGAAAATGATTGTAAAAAAAAGAAAAGTATGACAGTGTAATTCTTACAATGAGACAGCAACATTAAACAATATTGATAAGATTCTAATTCTAAATGATGCCAAGCAATAATTGGCAAAAACAAAACGTTAAACTCCTTGTTCTAAATTATAAATAATGTTTTCATAATATTTGTTATATTCCAATAATAAAGTTTCCACTTCAGTATAACACCAGTTCAACTTGTGCGGGGGTGTAGGTATTGCAGAACCAAAGGGCAAAAGACTTACACTCTCTATTTTATTGTACTACTGTATTACATAACTTCGAAACTAATATTACAAAAGATAAAATATATCTAGCTAATGCAGTAATGTGAATAATTTTAAAGTTACTGTTAATTATATAAAAGTACTAGGAACTTTTTACATACTTACTAAAAGTTTTATAAGAGTCCGAAAAGAAGCATTCACTGATGCATCTAACCTTATATTTATCTCGAAAAAAACTTTGTTTGTTTTTGACATCGACTTATACACATATTTGACCAATCTTCTTACACTTTTTCATACATTTATTTGAAAGAAGGACTATAATGTTTTTATACTAGAATCACGTTAGAAAAACCACGGCTAAAACATCGTTGCATGTATTATTGTAGAGTACCTATCTATTGTGACTTGTGAGACATATTATTTTTTATTGAAAATAAAAATTTACTTTCGTGAAATACCTGAGAAGTTTCAAGTTACAGCGGGATCCTTATTCATGTTGTGCAGAATGCGCGACGCGTTCGTTTGCGCGACGTCGCTGTGACATACACTCTGCTCATGAATAAGAGCTTAGGAGATTTTTTTGTTAATTTATGTGAGTAAATCGTTATTTTCAATAAAAAAAATTGTTGTATATACTTTACAATGTATTTTACTAAACATATTATAGTCAACTCTTCAGAGAAGTAAACGACCTAATATTATGACTGGTTTATTTTTAGCTCTCAGATCAACTGACGTTCATCGCGAGCATGAAGATAATATTCTTTGTCGTCGCCCTATTCTTCTTACTGGGCCTGTTTTTATGCAACGCAGGAGAAATAACTTATCAGGTAGGAGTTTACATTTGTGCGTTTATTTCGTTCATACAAATAAGCGAATGCTGCATGCCATTCGCAAAATCGCTTGGTATATAAATATGTTTGTTTGTACGTTTATTCTTGCAAAATGGTCCTAGTCCAAAGGGGAACCGTTGAGTATGCGGTCTCGAGTCTTTTAATTGAATCCGGTAAAGTTTTCAAGGCTCCTTTAACTTAAGATTTCTTAATCATGGTTCGGAATTTGAATCAAAATCGTTTAAATATCCTTTGATAATAAATATAGTGGATTATTTTGAAAATATCTCATGGCTGATTCTTATATATGGATACAAGAAAACCAATAAGCGAAAACTCGTGTGTATGTGCACGTACATATAAAAGTTAAACGCTATATTGTTTAGTTAATCCCCAATCCTAGTCTCAAGAGGGCTATATCAAAATGGCGACACGTGACATAATACAATTTTGGAAACAAAAATATGTCACGGACATTACGGACAAATGTGACATCCGCTAACATCCACAGAAATTGTGGAGTCGGATATAAAAATAAGTTACGACGTAAGGTCAGATCCGAGCCATCAACATAAATCACAGTTCTTGTGTAGCTACGCTCTTGTTATTTATATTTACCAAGTAAATAATGATGTTACAACGTTTCCAAAACCTATATTTGTTAACAAAAAATCTATCAAAAAGTTCCTAAGTAAACTATTCGATGAAATTGTTTTTGTGCCATGAATATTTCCGATTTAATCGAAAACCAATAAATCGATTGGAATTAATTCCTTAGCGACGAAGACGCGACGCTTAGATCGTCTAAGATCCGCAACCCTTAATTGGATTTTCTTACATAATTATAATATTTTACTCAATTGTATAGATAGAATACGTTGAGTTTTAGAAATTGAATGCCAAAATTGCATTTCAATACATTAAAATTGAACGTTGAACCTTTAAAGTTCAATGCCTGCGCATTTTATTTGCGGTAGGTACATGTTTTGTTATGAAAATTTTGAACTTACATTTTAATCTTTTTCCCTACCAGAAAACTACTCGGGAAGTACACGATACATAATCTGCAATGCATCGTAGATTACAGCTGTTATAAAGTTAGTTTTTTTTAATGTTATTGAATCAAATACTCGCTTTTCGAGCGGTGGTTTGAAACCTGGCTAAAAATGTGACTTTTCCTGAGTTATATGTCCTTTTTATGATTATTTACACACCACTGAAATACGGCAAAGGAAAACACCGTGAGGAAACCTGGACTTACAATTTCTTATTTTAAGTTTGAAATCGCCAATCGGCCTTCAGCAAGCGTTTTGATTGATGCTCAAACCTTCTCCGTGTGAGAAGAGATTTTCCTCAGCAGTAGCACTTAGGGCACGTATAGGCTGATGATGATGATTGAAACGCAATTTTTGTTTTACAGGCTTCTCAGGTATCGGATGCTATCTTCTATTGTGGTTGGCATACTTGCCCAATGCGCCCAAAGTCAGCCCCACGGCTCAATATACGGCAACTGGTGGTTTTAGCGATAATGCAAGCACAGCGTCCACTTGTGATGAAAGCCTTCAAGATGCTGGAACTTACTTACGGAACCTTTTTACTGGTTTGTAATTCTTTTTGATTTTGCTTATTTTAAGAAAATATTGTATTATAGGCACGACAGGTTTGCACTGTTTCATAAACACACATATTCATACATATTATCATATCACGTAATCATGGGTGATTTTAACACCAATCTCCTTTCCCATGAGTCCCCCCGTTCCCGTAAACTCCTAAACATAATTGAGTCGACAAATTTACATGTATTACCTCTTGATCCCACTCATCATAACACTGTCGGTGATGACTCCTGGCTTGACCTTATCCTCACCTCCAATCCCGCCCTCGTGTCCTGCCATGGTCAACATGACGCTCCGGGCTTCTCTCACCATGACCTGATCTTCCTATCTTATATCCTTAAACCACCCAATGTGGGGTCCAGGGTCCTGTATAGGCGTTGTTTTGCGCGGATGGACGGAGCAAAATTGCAGGAGGACGCATCGATGATCAACTGGGGACCTCTGATGGAAGCCACTTCTGTTGATGAAAAGGTTGAGGTTTTCAACATGAATGTGGTCAGCCTTTATGACCGTCACGCCCCTGTTAGAAAACTAAGGGTGAAACGGCCACCGGCGCCATGGATGACTCCTGGGATAAGGATGGCTATGCGCCGCAGGGACCGGGCGTTCCGCAAACACAGGAGGGATCGCACTGACGAAAACTGGGCGGCCTTCAAACTTGCGAGAAATAGGTGTAACCAGATGGTGCGTAATGCTAAACGCCGCCACGTTCTCGAAAGCATTTCTTCCTGTTCTTCAGCCGATATCTGGAAGTTCCTTAGAACTCTAGGCATCGGCAAAACGCAATATTCAGATCTTCCCAGTACAATGTGTCTAGACGATCTCAACAAGCATTTCGCTACAGTACCAATCATGGACCGTCTAGTGAAACAGAACACGCTAAGATTCATCTCTGATCTGACGCGCCCCGATATTGCTAATCCTTTCCACTTAGCTCCGGTTGATTCGGCAGAGGTTGGTAAGATTATCCTTTCCATCAAATCCAAAGCGGTAGGTTGTGACAACATTTCTCGAAACATGATTGTGACTATTCTTGATCACCTCCTACCAGCTATAACCCACATCATTAATTTTTCCCTTTTTTCCGGCTCCTTCCCCTCCCTTTGGCGAAGAGCTTTTGTTCGCCCTCTCCCAAAGGTCTCCAGTCCTACTCTTCCGTCTCAATTCCGTCCAATATCCATACTTCCTTTCCTATCCAAAGTTCTTGAAGCCTGTGTCCATAAACAACTTTCCGATTTCATATACCGGAACTCGCTTATCAGCCCTCTTCAATCTGGTTTCAGACCAGGCCACAGTACTACTTCCGCCCTACTTAAAGTGACTGGC